GATTTTAGCGAATCACGCAGTACTCACTTGGCCCGATGAGACGAAATTTCAGCGATTCCGACGCAGCGCGTCCTGCTCGGATTACAGGATCTATCTGCACCACTCGAAAAGCTCATTGATGATGAAAACCAGAGAATACCAGCGATATTCGCTCGAAAGTACAAAAATCGCAAATTTTACAAAATTATTATCAATATTTTATACAATTTTAATATATTGTAACGAGAAAAAAACATTTCGTAAAGCTCTTCTAGAAATTATATTTAATATTATTTTTTCTCAAGTAAAATGTATGTGTGTATAAAAATATAACGTTAAATTCGCGCAAGTGTAATTTATTCGGCCACAAATTTCTTCTCTTGTTTCTAGGTTAAAAAATAATTTTCTTTTCAAATACAACTTGAGTTAAACTAAAGAACAGATAATGTTTAACGTGACACGTGTGCGCGAGCGCGCTCACACACACAGAGAGAATACATAAATAGACAAGAGAACGATAATCAATTAGGCAGATCGAGGTCAACGTGGCCGTACGCTAAATAAGTGGCTAGCAGTATAGGTAAGATAGAGGATGAGAGATGGTATGGAAACTAATTTGTCCGTAAACGGCGATTAGACGTCCCTGAAGTGCGCGTGCGCGCGCGAAGAAGAAGAGAAACGCGCACGTCAAAATCTAAAGTAAATCCTAATCGGATTAGCATGAGTCGACTCAACGCTCAAGCAGCTTTTGTTCCCAAGTTTCAATGACGGGTTCCTTGAGGCGTGCGTCTCCTTTATCCAATGAGCTAACGACTAAGGAGCTGCTTTCTCGAGACAGAGAAAATTGCAAGCGCGAGGGTGAGATTGTGTGACGCGCATTATAAGAAGAGCGCGCATATTTCGGTACACTAACTGGAAAGAGAAACTTTTTTCATAAGCGACTCGAAATTGTGTTAACATCGAAGATGCAGCTATAAGTTGAGAAGAGATCAAACGAAAATAAAATTCAACGCATATAAAAAACCCGTGCGCAAAAGATACACTTTGATAACTGAGGATAATCAGCAAATATGTATAGAAAAAGAAGATAACCGGAACAAGAAGAAAATAAAGGATAAGAAAGAGAGAGAGAGAGAGAGAGAGGTAGGTAGGAAATGAACGTCAAATACCGCATCGAGGGATTTAGTCGTGATAGGGTTGTTTCAACTCTCGCTGCGAGAGCCGGATATACACAGCTGAGGCAATGGATCCCAAACTCCTTTCTCTCCTATATACACATATATATACTCCTTCGCAATGTCCGTTCGCTCGTCTCTTCTTCTCTCTATATCGAAGTGCCGTGTGGCTCGGAATTAACCCGAGCTCGACCGGCAAACGCGGCGCTCGCGCGCGTCGAAGCGTAAAACGAAGCGCCCGTCATCGCCGCGCCGCGGCGGCGTTTCGACGTCGATGGCTTTTAACCTGCGAGATATACATCCCCTATTCGATTACGTTCTTCTCCGCGTTCTCTGAAACCTGTTCCGGGACGAGGTACTCCCGACTTAACATTAACAACGCGAGAGCAGATTGTTTAAGTTAGCAACGAGCCGGCGTCTCATTCAGCGACTCCCCGAGTTTTGATTAAAAGAAAACAGCACCGTATCGACTGGGGTTTTAAGTCGAGTTTCGTTCTGACACAGTATTCGCATTTAATGCGCTTTCGCAAACGGCGAATCGAGCTAATCTCTCTCTCTCTCTCCTCTCTCAGTGGAGCTCGTGCAGCTGATCGATTAATTTTCTACAGATTGAAATTTACGAGTCGTGTCCTTGAAAAATTTATGAAACAAATGTAACGAGATAAATGAAAAGGAATGACTCGCACAAAGAAGAATTTCGCACAAGTAAGAATTTGTGTAACAAAATATATGTATGTGTATAATTGTCACAAATTTTCAACTATTTTGCAACACTCAATCTAAAACAATCGATCGATTCTTACTCGGACGGAATACAAAATCGGCGACCCGCGTTTTGAGTCAGCTTAATAGCTGGTCGACGGTCAAATTGGGTTAGGTGCTTCGTGAAAGCTTCTCTTCGTTACGATGCGCCATGTCGACGAACTCCTCTTCTCCTTGGGGAGATCTCGGCGAGGTATTGCTTCTATTAAGAGACAAGAGCGACGAGCCCATCTCGGACTTTCGGCGCTTCCCAGAAGCCTCTCAAACTTCTGGTTCCGCTGCACGGGCGAACCGCCGCCGGTGGATACGCATCGCTGACGATCGGAGGTGTTATGGGACTAAGTTATAAATCACTTATTAGGGTTAGCGGACTTCGAGGAACAAGGTATGTTGCTGCTTGTCACGGCAGCTGAAGAGCTTAGTAAGGCTTAAATAATTTTGACTCAGAGTATCAATGTTGCTCTAATTGCGGTAATTAAAATTGTCTGGAATATCCGTAAAACACTTTGTAGCAAAATCAGACTTATAAAATAAAATAATAATAAACTTGAGTTAATATAACAAATTGACGCGCGAGATGTAAAAATAAAATATGCATTATATAAATAAGTTGTGCATTTGAACAAAAACAAGTTAGCAAAAAAATGCGCATGTTTATACGGCTCATATAAATAACGTTGATCCCGTCGCAATTTGTTGGAACATTAATATCCCATTTATTCATGAGTTTCTCTATTTAAATATTTTCAATACACGCGACGTGTTCTCTCATACATAAGCGCGGCAATTACATTTGATTTTGCCCCGTACGTCGGATTGGCATAATGTTATTCGCCATTATGGAAACGCGAAACGCTGTTGCGTAACTTTCTACAAAGTGGAAATTGAACTTTCTGCTCACGGAGGGTTGACACGTATCTCGCATCGATTTGGTGCCGAGTATTAATTACGCATTGTGATATATCCATTCCGCGCTGTCAAGTTGCTCGCGTTATAAACGCGATGAAGATTATTTTACACGAGGTGGAATGACATTGCATCGTTCAATTGTGCGTGAAAGCTGTTCGAGAAATTCATATATGTATATATTCTCTGAAAATTAAAACAAAATTTCTGTGCCAAACTCGTTACAAGTTTGGTTATAAAAAGAAATAATTTTTATTAGTACCAATAACGGAGTCGAGAGAGAGAAAGACCTATATTAGGTATATATATGCGGCATGCAAACTATTATTCAAATAAAAATTGTGCCTCCATGCAAAAAAATAGAATAAATAACACGGAAGATTGTGAGTTTGAACGCGCCGGATAAAATTATTTCGAATGGAAATTTATTTGCGGATAAAAAGTGATATTGTCGGCATTTTAAATCAAAATTTATTCGAAAAGAAGCGATATTGATTGCAGAAAAAACTGACTAATTTTCCGATTATTAAAAAGTATATTTAATAATCGGAAACGACGAGTGACCAGTTTTACTCTCTAAATAAATATTTGATCAACCATTCGAGTAAACGAATTTTCTATTTCCGTGAATTATAGTAGTGTTTTTTATTTTTATTTTTTATAATTCTTTTTATTGTTTTATCATTGCATAATTATATTTTCCACATATAATTTTGCGTACAAAATTCGCGCGCAAAATGTAGAACGGCAAATGAGATCGGACGACTGTAATATATGATCGTTATCAGGGAAGGGGGAACTTACGACTGCAATTACCGACGACTTTGCAAATAATCCGGGAGCTTTGTTATCGGGATAAGATTCGACTTCGACGATTTAACAGTCGCGTCGACGGAAGAGCGAATCAAACTACAGACAAGCCGGCCAATCGACGGTGCTCTCTCGGCGCAATCGTTTACAGAGGATCGCTTTCAATGGTCCGCTGATTGTACGAGTGGTCGCTCGGTCTCGGATTAACGACCATTCTTGGGACCCAGGATCGTTCAATCGTAGCGACGATCGACGCCGAGTATCGGCGGCCAGGTCCGCTCGAGTTTCCCCAGTCGAGCGCAATTTTGTGAAAGTTTAACGAGCCTCGAACTAGTTCGGCGCGCGCGAAAAGTCCAAGTTTTCCTTCAAAAAAACGAAGACGGCCGCGCCGAGTCTCGAGATTTATATTGCCACAATGAAGGAGATGTCGATTCTCGACTTTTCGTTCGATGCGACCGATTTTGCCATTGCTAACGGTTGATCGTGTTTCTGTACCTTCATATATCGACACAATTACTTTTCCGAACTGAACCAAGTTTCGAGAAATATATTTGAAAATTGAGTGGCATAGAACTGAAACTCGATTTTCTTTCTCGATTAGTTGTCGAGTCAACTAATTTTCTGAGAAAAGTTCAAATACTTCTTCAAACGGGAACTATCGGACCCGATATATTGAAGCTTATTTCTCGCTGCGAAGAAACATTCGAATAGTCGCGAGATGTCATCGCGACCGAATGCTTCCGTAAAACAGTTGCCAATTGCGACTGGTCACGACTACCGCACGTCGTCGTATTCCCGGATATCGACGACGCATTAATGAACTAATAAAAAACAAACGCGTCGTAATTTTAGTCAGTACCAAGTTTTAGCGCGATTTTGCGAAAGTTTAACGAGCCTCGAGTTATCACCGTCCCGGGAAATGTCTAACTTTCTTCGGGAAAACAGCCAGGTCGATTTCTTGAGATGCAGAATCGCTGTACACAAAAAAACTTGCTTCCGTTTCTTTCTCTACACTCGTAATGGCAATTATATATCGAGTTGTTTCGCAAACAGAATTGTAAACTGCGTATTTCTTCTTTTTGTACTTTATATACGCGCGACTCGAAAGATCCATTTTAAAACATAAATAACACATCTGTTATAATATTATTATATTATAACAGATGTTATAATATTATTATATTATAACAGATGTGTTAGGGTAGGTTAGGGTTATAATATTATTATATTAACGTCGAATAGAACGTGAAAAAAGAGATAAGCACGTATCTTATTTGATATAATAAATTGAATATTTCGCTTTTGAGTGAAAGCGACGTGTTACTCTAAACGGAACTGTCGTAACGATTAAAGGCAACGTTTACTTACCGATAACGGTGAGGTTAACTTTGAAGTTTCTTGTCGGCGAGTTCCGGAAGTCGACCCTGCACCTGTAAACACCCTCATCACTCTGCTGGAGATCTAGAACAGTCAGCTGCCCCGGTGGGTTCGAACGAAAAGACGCCCTGGAGCCCCAAACGTGTGGGGCGCTCCACAGCTTTGGTTTTCCGAACTGTCGACTCCTCGCGTCGTAACTGTAATAAAAATCACAAAACACGTTCTGAAAAAATATGCTCTAAAACATTACGTGATATAAAACCAAAATTGTTTACTCTTGACGATCGTAATAAAATACAAAGTAAGGTTAAACATGAAATTGTAACACTTGTAAAATAAAGCATAAATTTTATATAAGTACAGAGTATTACAGTAAATTATCACGCTGTTGATTTAACGTCACATAAAAAGTTCCAAAGTGAGTTCTTATCGCGGAGAGCGCGTTGCACGTTGCATTTGCAGTTAGGAGTCTGTTTGCGACTGATATACTCGGGCCGAGCTTCACGAAGTGTCCTCGGGTCGTGCATACAAATCACGGGATTACCGCCGCGAAATATGTCCGCCCGCAGAGTTAAATACCGCAGTTTCGCGTGTCACAAATCGCGGGCGGCAAGTCGCGTAGTTCGCGATGCCGTCCGCCGCACGATATTCGCATTTGTCAGCGGAAACTTTTCTCCCCGAGAGATAGAGTTATTTTAAAATCTTTTCTCGCGCGCGCGAGAAGAGGAATAAAAGAGGAAGTTGAGCCGGGGCTAAATAATGCGGGTTAAGTCGGCCAGAGGGATAAAAGTAAAGCGGACGAACGAATGGTCGACGACCAAAGTACGACGCACAATACAACCCCTCCCCTCCAACCGTCCCGCGGCTTTTATCTGGCTTCGGCCAATTTTTCACCGAACTTTCGCAATTCGTCATAGTCGAGAAAAGCCCGCGGAGGCGAAGGGCTCTTCGCCATCCCCTCTCGAAGTCGCCCGGGTTCAAGAAGACCCAATACAGACCGAGAGAAGAGTGCACTCGACCGAGAGAGTCAGATAACCTCTTACTTCCCAGGTCGGAGCTTTCCGGAGGCGGTATTAGGTCTCGCTAAAAGAAGAGCGTGCTATATTGTTCGCGTTATGACCTACTGAGTAGCGCGCGATTACAGCGCACTGACTAATTTGATTTGTTCGATTTATTCGTGTCCAATTTACTTGTTCTATGAAATTCAACTTCCTCTATTTTTCCATTTTACGAAAAAAATGTCTATATATAATTTCTATAAAGAAATATTAGTATATTTTATCGAGTCTTGACAAGTTCAACACGCGCGCAGAAATATCAAAGTGTGTTTTTAAATAAACACAGTCTTAACTCGATGTTAAGAATTAATTTCACTATTCTCACAACAGCGAGACGTATTCTCAGTTTCATTACATGAATATCAACTGCGACGCAGGTGCATCCTGCTTCCTGAGGCTGTCAATTATCAGCGGGTCAGACTGAGTACGCGCTCGAACGTAAGTTCGTAAGTCTAATCGAGCGAGGTCGAGTCACGGCAAAGTTGGCGCGATAAGACGATCGGCGCCCGGGTGCCCCGAGAACAACGACAAAAGTTTTGCTGTTCTCTCTCTCTCTCTTTTTTTCTCTCTCTCTTTCTCTCTCTTGCACGCGCTCGTGTTCTCACAACTGTCAAGACAAATTGGATCGGTTTTTAATGAGCACAATGACGTCGTCGAGTAGGAGTAGGTAAGTAAAGACTCGATCCGCAAAATTTATCAAGCGCAACACACATCTACGCCGGCAAACGCGACGTCGAGCCGTCAAGCGTTGTGTCGCGCTTTTCTGATTTACGCGGTCTACATGAAATTTAAGGGGGAACCGCCGACACACGTCGACGGTAAAAAGATCTAATTGCGACGGACGGCTGCTCTCCATGGCCGGACGAATAAATTCCCTCGTGGGAAATTTTATTTGCGAAAGTCGGCCACGTTGTGTCGCGCAGATAATTAACCGTGAAAGCGAATTCTTGCCAGAGAAAGATATTTTCATAAATATCGCGTTTTAAAATATTTGCTGTAGTTATATATAAAAAATAAATACCAGGATAGAAAATTATAATTTATAGTTATATAGTAGTTACAAATTATTCATTTATTTTTTTTATGATCGTTCGGGAAAAAAGTTCATGCTGTATTACTTTGTAATTTTTTAATTTTAAAGATATACATCTCTCTCAACCAAACTTTTTCATATTTTACTTCATAACAATCGTAATATGTTTTATTCCATTAAAGCTTTTTCCATCTTATGAAGTGTATGGAACAAAAATGTACGTGCATAAACATGCACATTTATTCCAATAAGAGTAAATTGAAAAAGAGAGAGAGAGAGAGAGAGAGAGAGAGAGAGAGAGAGAGAGAGACAGATGATATTATAAATTATTCATCTCTCAAGAGAATTAAATGAAAATTACAAAGAACGGTATAAAACGTGACACACATATACAAAATCTATTTGATTAATATAAATTTATTATTATGTGAAATAAAGTTAAAAGAAAAATCCACATAATTCGTGCAAACTATTACATGCAAATAAATTATACGTCTGTGTATATGTGTGTGTATTCATATGTAATACATTATACACAAAGAGGACTCTATTTTTTACAAAAATTAACAAGTCAAAGAGAAATTCCATCAAATATTTAATGAAAACTACACACAATTATGATCGTAATGCCTGGAATTTTGTCGCACTTTAGAATGTCGTAAGCATTTTTCAAATTATCATCCAATGTAGGTTTAATTAATACTGTCGGCTATTCGTTGCTTTCCGTCAAAAACAGCGACTGCGAGCAATAAGGCACGTCACGATCGCATAAATCCCGTCATCCGCTTTGACTGCGAGTATTTTTCGACATGTTCTACGTCCAGATTGTCGAAACTGCATTATTAATTCAGTCCGATTGCGAGCACATCCATTGGGGCTTTGATGAAGCTTTTCTGTGGAGTGCGTTTTTATTGCACCAACTCATGGAAAAGATTAATTATTTCTAGAATAAATTTAAAAAACGCCAGTTGCGTTTCAAAAACAAACGTTTTCCACCGACACACAAATGCAATTTTTATATAATTTCAAATATTTTTTTTAATTCTTACATTTGAAATATTACACATATACAGATGTTTGATTTTTCGAACACCTATGTTTTACTATTACTTTGTTTTTATTTGAAATCTTTGTAAACTTAGTATAATAATACACTACCGCTTGTTTGTCATGAAAAGATATATTACGAGATTAATATATTGCAACGTTACTTTATCTTTTATTTTACACCGTTAATACAGCAAATTTTTATAATTTTTCGGCAAGATTAGATAGCTCCAATCGGTAACTGAGAACGAGTATATTCAGAAGAATCGCCATCAGGCAAGAAATTGGAAAACTGAGGTAGACTGGAAAGACAAATAGAAAATGGAATGGCGCGTTGGCAGATGGCCTCTAAACAAATTAAAATAATTGCCGAGTCCCGGAAACTGCGCACCGTTGGTCTAAAAGAAAGTCTCCCATGAATACGGGCGACGCCGGAGAAACGAATGTCGCGCGGAGGAAAGGGTGAGTGGGTCGTAAGGGGACTTAACCACTCTCGGGACTCTTAAAAGGAGCTTAACTTCGCGCATAAAATTAAAGCATTGTAATTGCAGACGGCATCGCCGCTGTGGCAGCGCGTTTCTATCTTTTTTTTCGTCCTCGAATCCTTCCTTCATTCACGTTCTTCCGTTGACTCCGTTTCCTCGCAAAGAGGGTTCTTCTTAGTCCTTCAAACCGACTCCGATAACAATCACGCCCTTTTGCTTCACGACAGAATATAATTTGCCGCGGCTAACTTTGTTACGCGCTGTCAGCGCGTAGATGATAAAATCATTGTTAATTGAGTTTAAATATGCGTGTGTGTAGAAAACATAATTATTTTGATGTGCAATGTATAGTGCAATGGTTTATTTTTTACGCAACCTATCTACAATGTCATTTAGCATCAATTTACTTATAATTTTGTTCAGCCTTCTAATAAAAATACTGTATGTCTACAAAAGAAAAAAAAAATATATATATATATATATATATATATATATATATATGGTATATATATATATATAAATTGAATGTCACTTTTACAAGAGGTTTTTTAGTAACATTTGCAAAACTTTCAATGTGCGCATTAAATGAATGTAAGATTTTGTCAGCAAAAATTTAATTTAATTGGACCGCCAACTCTTTTCGTAACTTTTACAGGGAAGTTAAATAGGAAAATAAATATATTAGGTATATTCTCGTATTTAAAACAATCCTGTTACAAAAAACTACACTTAACAATTATGATAAAATTCCGTTTTTATTTTTTGAAAGATAAATCTTTTAAATTTCCGCATATAAATTTTCCAAGTTTCTCATGCTTTATTCTATTTGATTTGTCAAGTAATAACATACCGTTTTATTCGATATTCCGGTAGAAAAATAAAAGCGCAAGGGAAGTTAAACGCACCGCGAAACGGTGTATTGAGCAGACAAAAACGCGATCCGTTCTGCTGGTTCGTCCGTGAAATCCGTATTTTTACACAGGGAAAATGTAATTTTCCCGGGGACAACCCCTGGATACGCTTCGTGTGCGGAAGCTTCTCCCGGATGATGATGATAATAAAATGATTTTTTATTGCAAAGCGATAGTACAAACAGACCAGAGACGAAAATCGTGTGTCACAAGCTTCTCTCTCACATGTAGATCGCATTAAATGAATGAAGCATTAAATAAATCTTTCGCGATAAATCTATAATAAAATATGCGGTTTTTGGTGCAGAAACTGTTTAAGTCGTCTAATAACGTAACCGCACCACTGTATCATGAGAAAAGCGTGGTAAGAATCATCGCCGTAAAGACTAAGTACTTAATGAAGACGTAATTAATTACATGAGAAGTAAATAAGCTTCATGTGTATAGAATGTCACAGAGCTATAGTTTTTAATTTGTTTTAATTACTCTTGTTAATCAGTCTATTTTGATAACAAGTTTTTATATCGCGTCATTTTGAAGTCGCTTTTTATATTAAGACAGCGAGAAAACCGAATTTTTTCCGCAAAAAAAAGCGGATGCGTAGTGCGTTTTAATCCGCTTCCGAAAAAGCTTACACGCACTCAAATGTGATTGGTCGCATTC